GATTTTCTCTTTTCACCCGCATGTTTCCCCCAAGTTTTACTCCAATTTTCGGGCCTCTAACAACTTCACCGTACTTATATTTTGCCATATTGCTTTTTTTCTTAACATCACTTATCTAAAAAAGTTTTCTGGTAAAGGATTGGCTTTGAAAATTGACGACAATTGGGTAACTGAACTGGCTTTGTTTTAACAAAATGACCCGAAAGAACATCACTCTAGCAACTTGAGTTTTTGAGCTGATTGGGTAAATGAACCGATTGCGCTGGGTGAGTGTTAAGGAATACTCGATATCAAACCCGAATTTGGTATCGAACTCGGAGACAGGCGAAAAATGGGAGACAGCGGCACTACCACTGCACCACCGAGTCCGAGACAGCGGTAGCCCTTACAAACACATAAGTCGCTCAATGCACTAGGAGGTCAAATTTCAAATGCATTTTTACAGAAGTCTAGCGCGTTTGGACCCAAACTAAAAAGGCCATCTTGTTTCCCGTGTCCGACAGAAGTCATATAGCTTTGGTTCGGATTCGCGCTTACGAAATCTGACCGTTCCCCAATGAGTGAATGCTAACTAGGGAAAGGCACGAAATTCCCGTGAGCTTTCGTTTTCGCACAGAGGTAAAATGTTTGCTCATTAGGGCTGCTTACACTTTTATTGCCCCACGATGTGAACTTGAGATCTTCTATCTACATTGTGTACACAGAAAAAGTGGCATCTATTTGTATCTTTTCTACGATTACTCACGCCTTGTTTACCTCTTCACACAATTGAAAGATTTTATGGATCTCTGCGTGATCGTTGCCCATATTCACTATATGAAAGAGCAAGTAACAAAAACTAAAAACGCTTGACAAAGTCCAATGATTACTCTTAATTTGTACTTGATACTTGACAATTTCTAGATAATTAATTTTAGCTAAACAATTCAATTCCAGGATCTCGACAGGGTCAAATAGTTGGCTTCTTTTTCCAATCACTCGGGAAATCCCTTGAATTTTTTTCACTCGGGAAATCCCTTGAATTTGAGAAACGTCTCTTCATTTGATTCTCGAAAATTTTGAGTGATTGTAAGTCCAGAAAAGCGTCCAAATATCTCCGAAATTCATCCTTTCATTTATTGAGTCTCCTTTCGTCGATTAACTTCAGAATTCTGTCAAAATGAGCCAACCATTTGACACTGTCGAAATCCTGGAATTGAATTGTCTAGCTAAAATCAATTATCTAGAAATTGTCAAGTATTAAGTCAAGTATGTTTATTCATTGGCACTCATTCTTTTCTACTCAGCGTTGCTTGTTCATTTGTGAATTTTACAAACTTTCCTTTTTCTCTGCGTTTAGTAATAACATTAAAAGATAGAGCACACTCAATTACATAAGTTGCCAAATTTTCAGGAAGATCCCTCCAACCGTTTTCTCTAGATGACACTTTATAGATTTTGTAAAAAAAATAGCCTTTTTTGAGCTGAGGCGCTGTTTGAGTTCCCTTTAAATGTCATTTTGCAGAGAAATAGTTAACCTTTCTACTGATATCAAATGCGTATCATTTGACAAAGTCTGCTAGAAGCTTTAAAAATTTCTTTAATTTTCACTCTCCCCAATCCAATAGAATAATATATGCATATTTTGAACTCATGTAAGCTTTCCTTGTATTTCTGCCCAATTGGGTTCATGAACTGGTTCGAATAGTGTTAAAGGGGTTGGGTCAAGATTGTTTTCAAAGTCGTCCATATTTTACGAAGGCGCACAAGAGGCACACGCATTACCAATAAGCTGACTTGAAAATTGTTTTATTCTCAACTTTAAATAGTCACTTATTCGAGCCTCCACACCATCAACACAATGAGCGGCACGAACACGAGAACAGAGTGCTATTCGTCGCAGCTCTCTCCCTCTTTGTATACAACTTTTGTGAGCTTTATACTTTTTAAAAGACCAATTCCACATCTAATCGGTATTTTCTACTCATGTCCAGTGTTTTGGGAAAGGAACAAACTCTCGGATGACGAAAAGGACAAGTATACGAGAAGAGAATATTTCTTTTCTGGGGCAATATCGCTGGTCAGCTGCTTGCAGGCCTACTTCCAAACTGTGTGTATGACCAAAGGCAAAAAGGGATTGTGGATGGTGAGTCAGAGGGTTTCTTTTGCATGAGATTTATAACAATACGCATCCATAACCAAACATTTAACTCTGAAAGAAAACCCAAATACATTGTTAAATCTAACAATAAGACTCTTAAATCGAGAGCTGATTGTACTTTGTTTTTGATTCAGGCCTGGGTTCCTCCATCAATATAGCTGAAAAAGTTTCTGCAAAATACAGCATACCACTATATTGAATACGCTTTCCACTACATTCACCAATTATCGAATTACAATCGAACCTCCATTCTAAAGAGTGCTCAAATTTCCTTTTAGCTAACCATTTGTCATTTGTTTGGAACAATACAAGAGAGACTATTCTTAGATCTTTGTGCTCTTCTTTACCAGTGGAATAAAAGTGACGGTAAACATGCTCGAGTTGTTTCAAGCGGGCATTCACCTGACACCGATCACTACTGTGGGCAGTCGAAACTTTGTGATCTCGATGAGAGCCATGAGCTGGTGTTCTTTCGGTAAAAAGAAAGAAAACGGAAATACAACCTGTGTTATGTCGATTGTGGCTCTTTTTTCAGATTGGCATCGTTCTTTTGACCTGGAGAAATCATTGAGAATTGGAGAAAAAAGAGCACGGTGCTGATGTGAGAGGTCATCGTGATGACACCGCAACTCCTAGTATGGACTCACCAAGTGCCTTACTTCTTTAACATGTTCAATGACTTTGAACGTGCCAAATACAAACGATTCTCAAAGGCACCGCATTTCGGCTGGTTCACGGGGTCAACCGGGAAAATCCATAAAGCCTTTTGGTTTGATATATTCATTTATCGTTATCACAGTTCATATCGTTTCCAGTCTTCAAATTCATTTAAATTCAATGCTCGTTTTTCTGCTATTGAATGTTGTTCTCTGAAAAATCTTTTAAAAAAAATTTCCTGAAAAAGGTTAACTTTTCTTTCGAGTTCTTTTCGCCATATGAACAACAACTTGAAAAAGATACGCCTACGAACAGTTGAGTAATATTATTGAACGTGTAGATGCGTGATTCACCCCCACGCTTTTTGTTCATAAAAAATAACGCTCCGAAGAATAGCACTAAACCAAATCGAAGAGATCTCCTTGGTAAATCGTTGAACAAAGACGGTTTCACAAAGGCAGGTTCAATACCATATGTGGCAAAGCAGTTTGATATGGCGAGTGAATAAAAGTGAGAGATAAGGCCTTCTTTGTTCAAGACCTCGACTATTTTCAAACGCAGCCAAATAGTATTTTTTTTTTGTTGACTCAGCGAATTATATTTTGCAATCTGCCTTGAAATTCAATCTAGGTTCTTTGATTATTTAAGCACGGCTCCTCGATATGTCTTCATTAGTAAGGACTTTGACTTAAAAAATTAACTCAAGAAGTAAAGGCAAATAAATTTTGCCAAACGATAAGTGTGACTAGATTTAGTGTTTCGCAGAGCTCAGTTCAGAGCTGAATCTTCAAGGATTAGCTGTTTAATCTAGGCATAACGGGTAGCTGTATAGAAAATGAAATACATACACCAGTAAAGCGCCCATTTTAAACTTTCAGTGCTCAAGTTTGGAGTGGATTGGGGCGGCGGGTAGATTGTGTTTCTCGAATGCTCGCTTCAAATCTCTGGTATTTATTGTGGTGTTGGTCACACCAGTGGGTGCCACCTACTCGCTCGAAGCAAGGAAGTCCCGATTGGGGGGCTCTGAGGAAAAGGCTGAAAAATGTGCGTTTTTGGTCACTTGCATACTTTTAAAGAAATTCTAATTTTCTTTTCTTTTCCACTGAGAATAGCTTTAATGTTTTGCAAGAAAAAGATCTTTTGGATAGTCTATAAAAGCAATAATTTTCAGGTAAAGAGACCGACCTCGTCTACTACCATTGCTTCCACGGCGGTATAAAAAATAAAAGTTTGCAAGAGAATAAAGTTAAATTTCAGATTGCTGTGCGCATTTCCAGCCTTTGCCGTACATTGCTTTGTGGATTATCGGAGCATCGCTCATCACTTTTCGCTGTTGCAGTTTATGCACGAGCTTCGGCATCGTTCAAATTCTAGTATCACTAGCTATTATCATTGGTAGCAGTTTTATATGCCGAATTCTTTTATAAAAAGCTTGCTTTTAATCCTACGATGAATTGATTTGTTCAAAAAGAATTGTATTTTGAAACAATCCGAGATATTATGATTTATTTTAGACGCTGCTGTGGTTGCGGGACGAAGCACAAGGGCTACCGTCCGACACGTCCATATTGAAACAAAACTCGATATAGAGAAGAAAAGAATTCAACAAACATTAAAAAAGTCGAAAAATGGAAAAATTCAAATTAAAAAGATCTCATCCAAGTGCACATTAATGATGCCAGAATTTAAACGATGCCGAGGCTCGGCCCACATACAACAACAGCAATAGCAAAAAATGGTCCCATATAGTCTATTATAAGTCTACTCACAAACTAACGCTCATATCTCGACACCAGTACGTTTGTTTCTGCGGGCTTAGGTATTAAATTAAAGTAGAGAGGATGGGTGATTTTTTGAGATATAACAACAGATTTTCAGCATTAACCAGTGCTTAGAAAAATGACTTAAAATCTGCTCTTTTTTTGCCACTTTCATTTTTTTCTAAGCGGATGCTTTTATGGGTTGTGTAATGTTAAATTATGTTTCATTCACTTTATAGATTGCTGCCACGTGTGTTCCATGTTCCAATCCATGAAAGAAACGTGAACAAAATCGTCAAACTTGATCGGCATAATTCAGAAAATTTGGAGAAATAATAAAAAAACGATACCGGAATCGAACAAAGAGATCAAGACATTAGAATTTGAAAATTAATAAAAAGATTTCAATGAAACAAAAGGGAATCAAGAAAATTTATAAATTAAGCCCTTTTGGGCAAAAATCGAATCCGCTCGCCAGTTCGAACGATCATTTCTTTCTTCACCAACTCGGTGATCGCCTTGTCAAAGAGATTTCGATTCAGGGAACTGAAAAAGGGAAGATAAAGTGGCTGGAAATTCAGTTATCAATTCTGTGAACAGAAATGGCGTTTAATCGTATAAAAGTTAAATTTAAACCTTCAAGTTAAGAGTTGTCGAAGGCCTAAGCAGCCACTGCCGCATACAGTAGCCCCCCTCTGTGCAGATTCGTTGTAGATTTCAAAACATTATGGATCCTACTGTTTAGATTTAATTTCTAGTCTAACTCTTACATCTATTCAAAATCTAAACCCTAAAAAAACCCCTACCGATCCGTTTGATGCATTGTCGTAAAGAGATTCTTCACGTTCAAATTCTGAGCGGCTCCCTTTTGCAAGTAAGCAGTTATGCCCTCGGCGATTTTGGTGACCAATTTGCGTGTTTTTGAAGAGATACCTAAAAATTTACATGTAAAAATATCTCAACTAAATAGCTGCTAAATTGAACTTTGAAAAACCTACCAGCATCCAAAATTCCCACGTCGACACGTCCGGTGGTTGGGTCGACAGCCGACTGGCGGAGAGCTTCTCGATGCAATCTAAAAAAATTGATCTTTTCTATCACAAAACACAAATATAATTGAGAAACGACTAAAATTTACTTTTCAGCCTTGTCCACATCATCAACGGTCACACTTCAGAGAGGCGAATCTTTGCATGAGCCTCAGCCAGGCGAATGAGACTTTCAAGCTAAACTTTTTGAATTTCTTTGAATGACATTTTCACAATTACCTGTCTGGGATATGCACTGATTTGTCCGACGGCCGCTCCATACTTACGCATGCTAAGGTATTTATCGATGAGGAATTGCGATGCCACTTCAGTGATCTCGGGATAAACGAAGGCTTTGGCATAAGCTGAAGAGAATTTTTCAATAACGCAATATACTTTCGAACAAACCAATATAATCCCTGAGCAGGGCCATATCAAATTTCTCATTGACGTCCTCCCCTTCGCGACGGTAGTACAACGAGACGAGATGAGAGGCCAAACGTCGGTCGTACTTCTCATCTTGTGGATCCGACCATCAAGAAAATTAAATCGAATCTAAATAGAAAACATTCATATAAGATTCAATGCAGCTATGTTACGTGTTATAACCAAAAACCCTACCTCGAGAGCAATGTATGAGGCAACTGAATGTTGTCGACCTAAATGTTGTTGGTTAGCAGCAAGCAAAACAACAAAAAAAACGAACGATTGTCTTGTCACGATTCCACTTTGAGTCGACCGGATTTGCAGCAGCAAGGATCGACGTTCTCGCGTGCAATTGGCAAATGATACCCGCTTTGGCAATCGATAGAGTTTGCTGTTCCATAACCTAAATCAAAAACCTATCAAAGTTCTATTTTGACTAGCTTTGCATTCCAAACAGCAATTCACCTCATGAAGCACGGATCTTCATTCATTCATTTTGTCGAACTCATCAATGCAACAAACACCATTGTCGGCCAACACAAGAGCTCCCGTTTGAAGAACCAATTGTCTAGAATCATTGCTTGAATCGAAAATTAGCACAAAACTTACTTTGTATCAGCATCTCTTGCAACACTGGCCGTTAAACTGAAATTTTCGGTTTAGAAAAAAGCAAAAACAATCGTAATTCAACAACTCTAACACAGGCACAACACTTAATAGTTTTAAACTTCATTCCGCTCACCCGACAGCCAATGATCCCTTTCCAGAGGTGTATTGCGAACGAGGCAACAAATGGAAGACGTACTGCAGCAGTTGTGACTTGGCCGTTCCAGGGTCTCCACAAAGCAGAATGTTGATCTAAATTTAACCAGTTAATCGACAATCACCAAGTTTTAGCTTTGTCCTAAACAACTCACTTCACTGCGCAACTTTGTCTTCTGTGTGCGCTCATCCTCTTTTCTCGTTCTGCTAAAGAGAAGACAAATAATTCCTTTCTTCACATCCATATGCTCATAGATCGAAGGTGCTAAAGTCTCGTTGCAAAACGAATTAAATCTCAAACAAACCTATGGCATTCGCGAGAATTTCCATGATATCCTCCCGTTTACTCAGCGCTTTGATTTGTGCAATGCGCTCATCAGTGAGATTTTCTCTAAAACGACCCTTTAAAAGGCTTTAAATAAAAAGTCAACCCATTATTTTGATGTAAACGCGAGATCTCGGTTTTCCTGAAGTGCAAAGCATCGATGTTGGTGCGGTAGACAGAGTTGAGCACACGTTGACGAGGGTTCATCTAAACTACGAGTGCTTGAATCACTTTAGTTGTATCTACCTTTGATCCTTGAGCTCGATAGATGCCGGTCACCGTCACACGATCTCCCGGTTGCACAGATTCAACCAATTTACAGTGAGCAAAGATGGTGATCGTGTGCGGAGTTTGTCCAGCTGGCATGTCATCTAAATACAAACATAGAAACAAGAGAAGAAACTACACAAACCAGGGCTTTCCTGAAGTTTGATGGTTGAGATTTGTAAAATTGGAAACTTGAAAGTTGGTAAATGTTTTTTTATTTCTATCTGTGCTTTAAATCAATCCAAGTTTCCCATTTATCTGGGATTGAAATTGAAAAGTGTAAAAAAAACTATGGGATTGAAAAGTGTAAAAAAAAAAACAAAGAAATCAAAAGATTGGCTGAGGCTGGGATCGAACCCGAGACTAATGAGCCCAACATTGCTCAAATTGACAGATCGGACGCCGGGACGCACTACCACTCAGCCATCTATTCCATGCATTCCTTTGATTTCACTTTTTAAGAAAAACACTTAAATCTTAAATTATTTGCCAAATATAATTGGATTTGATGAAATTTACATAAAAAGTTAGATTTATAATGTCAAACTTTCAAATGGGGATCTCTATTCGAGTCTTTACGGTACTTTCCAACTTACATCTTTATCTTGGATGAGTGTGCTAAAGGGTAATCCAACATAAAGCTTATCCCAGTAAACAATCGGCGCCACTAAGCTCAGCGCTACTAAAATCAAAGGGAACACCTGAAAAATTACTAAAGATAAGAAAATAAAATTTCTAAATAAACCGCAAAAATCGTGTTATGATTGGCGAGCGCTTTGCCGAAATACCAAAAGACTTGTCGCATCACTCGCTCGGGCCAATGCGTGAATCGATAGGCACCTTTTGCACCTGGAACAAGCTTATCTATAAAGATTGGACTCAAGATAAACCCAAGCTTTCCTCTTCACTGATTTCGGCTTTTTGCAAAAATGCGCTAGAGCCATCTCATTGGTGACACGACGAACGAGCGCTGCGGCTGCAACCTTAGCTTGTCGACGGAGGGTTTCTTCCGGTGATGTGGCCCCTAGAAATCTTTCATTCTTTTCTCAATTTATTCAAATTCACCTCCACATAACTTGTCCGCATTTCCTGGGTCTCCATTTCTCGTGGCACCGTTCGATTTGATGATCCCTCATTTGGCTGTAAAATAAATTTTTGTAATTTTTGATTTTTCAGAAACAATTTACTGTTGTTGTAGATGATGTGGGGATTCCTGTTGTTGAAGATGAGTACGGTGATGGGGTGTTTGATGTTGTTGTGCTCGTTGAATGCATTTGTTGAGCAGGCTACGGGTTTTCTCTTGAAAAATGAGCTTTTCTTAAACTCACACGACACCGATTGGTGAATCAGTTAAAATCGAGCGCTTGTTCAACGAGTTGAATCGTGAGTCCGTCGTTAGCGGTGGTTTTGCTTGTGGAGGACCATTCTAAAAGAATCAAAAAGGTCAAAAATGATTTTGAAATGCAAACTCCATACTTTTTCTGCTTTTTCAACAGTCGAATACCCATCTACCGTGATGAGCCTCGATTTTTAGAGATCAGCGAAATACTTTCAAAGAAATGGCAATGATTTAGTGTTCAAAAAGAAAAAAAATTCGTTGATTTCTAGTTCTGCAATGTCGGCTAAGCCGAATGGGGCAATGATTAGGAGAGTAAAAAAAAAGAAAGAAATGAGAGAAGAACGAGGATGATTGAGAAGATAGGAAAGGGGGATGAAGGAGGCGATTCTCTCTATCACTTTAGGAAAGCACCCCAAAATATGGGGATGCCGATATCGGAAATGGGTCACTCTTTACCAACACGAGAGCGATTTCAGCCTTCTTTCTCCGTTTTTCATTTCGCTCTCTTTCTCACACCTCAATTCTCAATTCGTTTCAGCTGATCACTTCCCTATTCTCGCAGCTGGAAACGAATCTCTACCCAATGTCACTATTGTTTTAGAAATTTAAAACAATAAGCTAAACAATTAGATTAAACAAGTTCTGCAAAGAGAAATAACCATAAAGACTCTATGAAAACTTTGAAAAGAATCGTAAAGCTATAGAAAAGAAAGGTTAGGTTAATCAAAAGTTGATTTTGTCTAGAGAACTATTTTTCAAAGATTACCTTGATTTTGTGCTCTGGCGTGACTCTAATATGATAGACATGAACCATGAAGAAAATGAATAAAAAAACGATTCAATTCCAAACGATTTCAAGAGTAAGCAACGGAAATTGGCTGTGACAACGGCTTCTTTTGGAGGTGTTCGTTTCCAAGCGGTTCATCAGTTCCACGCGAAAAGAGGCCAAAAGAAGAAAGAGCCGGATTGTCCCCCCTAACGACTTACAAAAAAACACATCACTTGCCGCTCATTTAAGGCAAGAGGGGCAGTAATTTGACGGAGATTAGCCTGACACAGGAAACACAGCTTGCAACTATTGAAGGTTACCAAATCTCCTTGAATGGCTTCAGCGACCAGGGAAAAGGCATTTCCCTTAACAGTAAATCAGTTTATGTTTAAATAGAATTATGCATTACCTTATGCTGCGTCCAAAGACGATCGTGTCCACAATGCAAATCGTAGTCCACCTTCTTGCCCTTGTCCGGCATGCTGACTCGATTCTGATCAAGCCCAAGTACATCATGAACCAAAGCTTGATCTGTCCAAGTGTGATGAAGCATTGTTGCCAAATCCGCAGATCTGAACATAAAGCATTCTTAAAAAACCTCTTTTTAAAGCATTTGAGAATTCAATACAAACCTATCCGCAATGATAAGTACAGGACGAGAGCTACTAAGTTGCCCAGCTCGAACACTTTCAAAGGCGAAGAGATTATTGCGTGCATCCCGTAAGTTGTCTCGGAGTTTTTGATCAAGCCTCTAAAACAAAAGTAATAGCAAAAAATAATTCAAAAAGGATTACAATTGCAATTTGTTCCGCAGCATTGTCTTTGGAAGCACGAATCACTGGCACCAAACCAAGAGTAGCACACATCTGATAAAAGTCCTTGATTGTTGTTGAAGAATTTTTACCGAAAAGAGACCATCCGCGATGGATTCAATCATAGATTCCATTTGAGCGTCGGATGTTGAAGGATCATTGATTGCTAAATTAATTCATATAAAAATGAAACGAAAAACAAACCATAATAGGACATGGGACTTGCTTCAGAGTATCTTTTCAATACAAAGAGATCGTCTTCCAAGGAAATGAAATTTAAATACTGATCAACTACCTAAACAAGAATGTTTCTAAAATAAACCCAAAATCAGAATTACCTTTTGCACTTGAGAGATCGCCCCACCATTGACCGCTGCCGTTGCAAGAATTTCTGGTCGTGGTCGGGATAATGGAGAAATGAAGTTGCGATAAAAGTTTTCATACAATCCCTAAAATCTTCTTGAAAAAGTATTCATGGGATAAAATCACCAGCTTCAGGTCATTGCAGAGAAGTTCCACGTTTTCATCATTTGGGGCATCATTATATTTTAGAATCTTCTGAAAGCTTCGCAAAATCGTCTCTTCGAGCGATTGCTTGATGAGGTAAGTGAAATCAATTTTGGAATCTTTAGCTTCTGTTCTGTAAATATTTAATTCAATCTCTCGGCCAAGTTTATCGACAGTTAGGCACCCTATTACGCTCCAATCCGGTCTTTCAGCTCTCTCTGAACGGGGGAATTCCGTGACAATGATCACGATAGGTCTTAAGAGTCGCTTCATCTGTATACCGATTTTTTGGCCTGTTTTCGACTTCTCGTCTTCCAAATTACAAGAATCAGTTGGCTTATTTCAGGGTTTCCCGTATCTGTTATACTATTGTAGAGTTACTCTTGGTGCGGCTTTCAAAGTTTACGCAAAGCGCCATTTGAGGTTGTCGAGGGTTGCGCATTCAGGCATATCCAAACTTGTCTTTTAGTAGTCACAACAGAAGATATAAATAAGAAGTCAGAAATAATAAGAATCTAAATTTCTACAGCAAAGAAAAATACGTGACCTGAAAGGCCTACTCAAAATTTACGTTAGCCGAGAATTTACATGCAGAAGTCAGATGAATCAAAAGATCAATTCATTCAGATTATTTTTGCTTGTCGTATTCAATGGTTGGTTGTTTCAGCGCTTTCTGGAATTGGGTGTTTGGTATTCGTGAAGCTCGACGTGAAGCTCGAGGTACTCGACGTGGGTTTTTTTTGTTTACTAAATTTCCCTTTTTTTCTATTTTCAGCTGGAGTTGATGAAGTTGTGAGTTTCTTTTTGAAGTATGCAAATTTTTTGAATAGGATCTCAAGGCGAAGGACTTTTCTTATGAAGCGACCAAATATGGTAGGTTTGATACTCTTTCTTTCTTTAGTAAGACAAACGCATCCGATCTAGCACATTCTCTTTTTCATGAATACTAGACATATGCAAATTCCGTCCCGAACCTAATTCCACCTTCGTTTTCTTGGTTGCTTCTTGATCGATTGATCAAAAATTTTGTTTACAAGTAGTTAATGCCAGGCTCTACCTTTAGACAAGATTCCAGATCAATCGGTCAAAGGACGGCCAAGAAAACGAAAGTGAATTTAGGTTCCGGTCGGAATCTGTACATGTCTGATGAATACTACACTGTTTTCGTTTAGGATTCGATGAAGCACATGGAAAAGAGCAAGATGACACTGCTTTTAATGAGACGTTCCCCGAAAATACGATTGTGGTATGTTATGTATTTTGGTCTACGTAAAGCTAGAGTTCTCTGAAGTTTGGGTTTCCTGTTATCGGAAAGGCGTTGCACACGCACAGACAATTGCCTTTTATACATATAGTTGACTTTAATGCTATACGGACGGAAGTTTTCAAGCTGGGGTTCCTCGAGAAGCCGTCGACTCTTCAGCTTATGCCGGGTTTTTTGGCAAAGACCACATACTCAACTTGTGAGTTTCTTATTAGTTGCCTTGATCACTCTCTTTTAGTGCTGTTCCTCTCGAAGGTCCAGAAAAAACAACACTATCGAACAAAAAAAGGATTCCCAAAGATGACTGTGCGACTTACATCGAGATTGTGGCTGTAAAAACTGCGCTCGAAAAGTTGGCAGCACTGCCTGGCAGCACGTAAGGACCATTTGATCTGAACCTAAATAAGTTGTAGATTTGGCAACTACTAAAATATAAGCTTTAAAATAGGATCGCAGAGCTATCTAGCCTTATCTGAATAAATTAAGCTTGTTGTATTTTTTAACATTTTCTTCTAGCGATATGGATGTTATCGTCCGTACTGACAGCTTGAACACGATCCAGGGACTGAAGAAACGTAACAAGCTCAAAATAGAAGATCTTCGTAAAGGGTTTGGAATACTTAAAATCTTCAAATTTGGTCTTTTTTTCAGAATCGATTCGATCAAGAAGGTGGTATCAAATTACCCGAGAGGAGTCCTCTTTCAACATGTATACAGCCACAATGGCGACGCGGGAAATGAGATGGTTAGGGTTTAATGTGGAGCCAGATCATGTGTCTTTTTAGGCTGATGCCATGGCTTCTTGGGCAAGGGAAGGTTACACGTCGGAAAAGAATTACCAGTTGGAGAAGGAATGCGTTAAACGCGAGAAAAAGTGAGACTTGATTTCTTAATTTAAACTTTCTTCGAAAGTGCAGGAAAGGAATCCGATTGTTGAGAGACAAAAAACTAGAGAAAGGGAAAAGTTAGGGAAAACACCGTTTGACTTGTGCTAAATTAGTAATAAAATAACGGTTAAACTAAACTTAAAGTAGTTAAACTTCATAAAGAAAGTAATGTAATAAACAATGAGGCAACAATAAGGCTTATTCCTCTCTTAGTGGATTTCTGCATTCATTCCCAACTTGTTATTATTATTATTATTAATTGTTTGACTTCTTTTTTACAGATATTCGCGACACGGCAAAGAGAAATCCCAAAGCAAGAAGGCTTTCGACAGCGAGGAAAACCCAACTTCAAAACGATATGTATTCATCAAGCAAAATGGCGAAGCCGAAAAAAGCGATGAATAGCCAAAAAAGATCGCTGCAAAATAACCTGTGATTTTTTTGATGCAGACCTGTTCATGATAATTCGAATAAATTTTGTATTAGGTCGTTTAAAAAATTATCCAATTCAGTATCAAATTTTTATTTACTGAAATGCCTGATCAAAGCTCACACAATCACAACAATGGTAGAGAATCATAAGATTTTAGAGTAGCTACATTCAAATTCGAGCTTCCATCGAGTTTAAAAAATTGTTTCTCAGCTCAGCAGCTCTTTAATGGGCCAAGTTTCCAAAATTTCTTCATCACGAAACTTGCGAAACCGCGAGTTGGGCAATGAAGAAACCGCTTTACGCAACCGTAATCGAGAGAGCTCCTGCTCGTAATCGCAACCGTCTATGGGGGCCCACGAATAATCGAGGTAGTCGTTGTCGTAGTCCTCCAGCATCTCAAAACTGAAAGAAGATTAGTTAATCGCTTTTTAGAGAAGGTTCTCGTATCACATTGAACGACAAGAATACTGCTTTCCAACTCAATCCAAAAGAACTTACCAAAATTCCATAGCCTCCTCTTGTTCGATCCATAGGTGGAGCTTCTTTCCGAGAGAATTCCTAACAACTATAAAATTGTTTAAAAAAATCGAAACAATCGCTGTCGACCTTCGTTTCAAACTTGACATTCCAAGACAACATGGCAAAGAACTAAACAAGAACATCTCAAAAATTAGCTCTTTCACTCACCTCTCTGATGTTCAGGTCAGATCGAACCCGCAGTCGTATCTTTGTCACTTCTCGGATTCCAGCTCCCCATTCGTTAAGAAATGAGGCGATTCCGGCAAATGTACAAGCAGTCACATAGCTCAGCATGAAATTCGGAGAGGCAAAATTCAACAGCACCTAAAAGCAAAGCAACAATTTGATTTAATCGTTGATGTTGTTACCAATCTCCACTGTTAATAAAAGATGAATTTCAGTTGCTTAGTAGGGATATTTAATTTCACTGACCTGGTCATCAAAGGACAAATTTCTCGCACTAATCGCCAGCCCCCGACGATCTCGAATGCATTTGTCTTGCCAGAACGACGACGTCAACAGGGTAGTTTCACCAAGAATCTGAACCGGTTAGTTGAGAAATAAAAACAAGATAGTAAACCGCCAATTTGAAGTTCTCTGGTTCAAGCTGAAGTAGCACAAGTCGTAGATCCTTCCAATCGAACTTTTGTCACCAAAAGATTTTGGCATTTCACTTTGCATTCCTCCAACTTCTTCAGCAATTGATGAAACGTGGCGACGTCGAAATACTCAAGCTTCTAAAAGTTTTCATTACATTTGTTTGTACTCCACTACACTCTGAGCGCAAAATTTTGAAAGCCGTACCAAATGGAGAGTTTTAATGGACATTCCTGGAAACATGTGATTGAATCTTTCGAGTGCCTGCCTCAATGGAGCAGCTCCATACTTCATACGGCTCCAATCTTTTTCAATCGCGATGAAGATAGTTGGTTCAACCTAGAAGGCTAGTTAAAAAAAGCATTTTTATTTGAAACTACCTCGTTATGATTATTAGTAAGAGGTTCAGGGTTGACCTTCTTCTGGTCAATCGTCAGAGAATAAACTTGTACGGTGGGCAGCGATTTCCGATTCACATCAATACGTTGTTGAAAGAGACGCGAAATTCCCCGACATCTAAGCATCATCATTGATACTTTATAAAACAAAAAAGCTACTTTTCAATTTGTAATCCTGACAAGTAATTTAGTACCCGAAGAAAGGGAACATCCGGGAGAACAGCAACGTCGAGGCGAGTTTCCTAAGATATACAAGTTGTGATAAAAAATTTACACCTCACCGAACTACGAATTTCTTGGGCTTCCATACGAACAATCCACCAATCACAACCAACGCTTGTAGAAAGTTGATTATCTGAAAAAGAATAGCAAAAAGGGTCAACACATCTCCCTTGATTAAAACAATAAAAGTATTAAGAAACAGAAAACTAATGCTTGAGAAAACAAGGCCTTGCATTGTTTGACCATAAAGGGGAATTCCGGCATTGAAAAACTACAGCTTAATTTTGAAAAAAACCATCATCGAGAAATCTGTGTAGTTCTGAAATAAAGAAGATCGCGCAAAGGTCAAAAGGTCTAAATTCCTTCAAACATTTTGGCTCTCATATATTTGTATTCGACAGCAATAAAATATTCAGCTAATTGATTAAAAAGTTATGCTGGGAGACTGTTGATCGTTGTCGTACGTAAAAGCATCAAGGAACCACGAAGTTGAAGAAGTTTTTGATTTGCAACTATTCTCCGACCTGATTGCGATTTTCTGTTTCACTGATTGCAAATAGGCAGCTTATGAAAATTTTTTTGATGTTTAAGCAAAAGCAAGTCACACAATTTATTGCATTGAATACATATAGAATAAGTGAAGATCGGAAATGAGAAAAGGGAAAGCAAAAGATATAGTCGCTTCATTGAATGATGTCAAAGAAAAAAAAGACTATAAAAAAATTGCAAAAGGTTTTTGAAAGACAAAATGAGGTAAAAGTTACATGCAGTAAAAATATTGCGGATGAAAGACTACATTTTGTACAGGGGGTTCAATAATTACCGCGATTCTAAGTGTAGCACTCAGATATGCGAACATCTTGGCACGCGTTTCCTCGGACACGCAAATTTTTGTGAAGCTGGCCTTCACGTGAAGGCTTGGTTCCAATCATTCTTCTTCGTCAGTCCTTCTTAAAACAGTCCCCTGGAGAAGCTTGTCAAAGCCTCGATATATGGTTTGTCTCGATAAGAGAGGTGCGTTAACGAGACAAGTTATATACCCGACTTTGGTAAGATTTTTCAAGGGACTATTTTAAGTTGTTGATGAGTATTTGGTATCAAATGAAAGCTAGAAACACCAGCTTTCCAATAAAGCGAAATTCAGGCATTTTCGAAATCTCTATGAAAATCTATGAGGTTGTCTCGTTAAGTCTCGTTAACTCTCGTTATCTCGTTAGTCATGTCTAATGGATACTGAGGCAGCGAATAGTTGATCTTTGATAGAACTTCAATTTCAACTTTGTTTTTCAAGATTTTTCAAGAACAAGGTTGGAAATGACAACGTTTAGCGGATAGCTCTTCATTTTGCCTAGCAGAAACATCTCACTCTTTGATGACTTTGTGCTCACGGATCATCGCCAATTGAACATGATGTGTTTGATGGAAAGTTTGCTCGTGATTCAACCCGTCAAACATTCGCTCACCCTCTTGTCCTCCGATTTGAGAAGTGATCTGAAAATTTGAAATTTCAAATATAGTTTCAAATAAATATTAGTTTACAAATAGGTTTTATTACGCTCCGTACTCATCCCTCCGCACACCAAAAATCCGACAATTTGATCCATTTTACTGTTGATCGTATAGATATGTTGGCCTTCGTAGCGCTGAAGTGAGTTCATAAGATTCATATTCCATAGACACAACTATGGAAATTCATGCATCATTTGATTTTACAGTTCTTTTTTTGGCGATGAGTGGATGAAATTCAATTTGGTTGCTTTTCATAGTTGTGTCTCTGGAATCTGCATGCTGTCTATGGAAATGGAAATGTCTATGGAATCTGCATGTCTATGGAATCTGCATGCCTATGGAATCTGCATGTCTATGGAATCAGAAGAATAAGGGAGAAAGATTGCCGCTTTTCCGATCCCTATCACTTCACTCCAAGAATCCTGATATGGATAGCCTAGTATTCCTCTTTGCCTTTGAGAACGCTCGCATATCATTGTACACATTCACCGAACCAGATTTCCCCTTCACATTTGGATAATCAATGTGAAGGAGAACATAAATGAAGCGCTCAAAATGAAATCTAAATGTGCTTTTTCTCGTGCATTACCCAATCTTTATACGTTTTGCTAGAATTTATCCTTTTGTAAGTTTCATCGCGACAAAAAACAATACAAACACAGAAATTATGGATAGGTATATCACAGTACTTCAAAAACACATTAACTTGAGATATTTGCGAAAAACTATCAGAAAACACACGTAAGCTTATGCACATAAAGTAACCAATGATTAAAATAGTTTTTAAAAACAAAATTGAAACCGCTAATCTCATCGAAGAATGCCGCAATTCTGTTAAAGTTGTCCACCAAGCCGTGAAAGCTAAAAAACAAAGTTGAATATGATTGAAGCCGAAATTATACCTGTTCGATAAACTGCGATGGGCTAACAAGTTCAGTGCAACCATAAGTCACAGGTTGAACTCCTTTATCGCGTCCCCATTCAACAAGATTTTCAAACTCCACGTAATTTCCGCCCCCGACCACGAAAAGAATGACATCCGCCGGAAGATGAGGTCGCAATTTCATCGATCTGAAATAAAAAATAAAAGTTCCACTGTTAATAAACGCACTCTTTGCTTGGCTGATGCATCATTTTCGGATCGAAATAGCGTAAATTATCTTCGGCTTGTGTTTGACTGCTTGCCCGTTTGCTTGGGTGCCCGTTTGCTGGCCTTGAAAAATTTGTTGGTAAGGCTGGCTCTGTTAAACTTGAATCAAAAACCAAAACATTGTCTTCTTGGTTGAGAGCTTCCTGAAAGTTTATTTACTTCTTGGCTAAAAAACTCGTAATCACAAATTTGGATATTTGCCCAAAAGTTGAAAGAAACTTATTTTTGAACAAGAGTTGGTGCAGACAAATAAGACAAAAAAATAAGTTTCTTTCAACAAAGAGAAATTGAGAGGATTGAAGTCGGGAGAAACACAAAGTTTTGATCTCAGGAAGCCCGAAATCGAAAAAGGCAAACGACTAGAGCACTCGATCTTCCAAGGATTTGATTATCATCGAGGGAGGATCGTCGATCGAAGTGAAATCCCCAACGAAAGCATTGACGATCTCTACAAGGATTTCCTCGATTGGACAATCTATCAGCATCTCCACAAGAAAACCAACGACATTTTTGAACAAGGCTTTAGCGTTCTGCAATCCAAGGTTACCTCCCCGATTAGAGATGGACATCAAAGAAATCGGCATAACACTCGTTGAAGAAATGAAATCGCTGTTGGATGAAAATGCACCTATTTCAGCCCAGAAAATGTACCTATTTCAACTCTACCTTTTCTTCTTACACCCTAGACGGAATTCCCCCTTTGTTATACGAAAACTAAGTTTCAAATATCTCCACTACTTGCTAAACTTTTTAATCTTTCACTTCTAAACACTTCTAAAACAGAATGACAGAGTCTTGAGCAAAAGAAAGTGGCCGAATTCGGCTTTCTATTCACTGACCAAGAGCAGAAGCTAGACTTAATAGTTGAAGATAAAGAAGTTACTAAAAGAGAAAGAGAAAGAAGCAATCCTTGTTGCTTTGTATCCTAACCGTAGCCTTCCTGACTTCATCATTTCAGGAGTTTTTACTAGTGAACTCTATCTGGCTTTATGCCACTTGTCATTTTTTTCTTTTTCTTCAAATGAATAAAGTATTTATTCTAATAGACCATTGAAATATCTACAAAAACGTTCATAAAACGTACTTTATCTTCAAGTTACAAGTTGAGAAGTTACATGAATTGTGTAAGATCTGCTAGAAATCTGACTTTTCGCCTCATGGAAGACTCATTTCTATTTCTTTGTTGTCAAAATCTCTTAGATATTCCATTTTTGATTCTCTTGGATCATCCAAATAATTATGAAAATGGGAAAGTATCGCTGGATTTGATTTCAAGAGGAAACTTCATCATATCGATGTTGTAGTATTAAGAAAATACTTTCAAGAGTCAAAGCTCAATGAGAGAATTTATGCTTGGAGCAGGGGTGGGGAATGGACACCCTACCCCTGCTTGATTGATTATCAAGGGAATCCAAAAACAGAATGGCTTCGGTTTGAGAGAGTGCCGTATTCGGCTTCCTATAGCCAATTCACGAACCCACAGTCGTTGAAGACAAAGAAGTTACCTAGGAGAAAGACAAAGGAAAAAAAAATGCTGATTGCTCTGTATCCTAACCGTAGTCTTCTCGACTTCACATTTTATCGATTTTCTATTTTACTTGTAAAATTTTTGAACTTTATGTGTCTTTATGCTACTTGTTTCCTTTAATTTTTTCCAGATCAATAAAGTGCTTATCTAAAACAGAACGTTCTTTATTCTTGAAATGTTTACAAAAACGTCCATAAAACGTACTTTCTGCCCCCTGTCGGTAATAAATGCAATTTTCAGAACAACAGACACAAATAAGAGAAATCAGATTTTCACCAAAAGGGGAATTGGAATGAAACTTTTATAATCTTCACAAGCATTTTCAAACTTATTCTAAGGAATTAAACATGACTATGTTTGATGTGTCCAAACCTACTCACTACTTAGTTTTAATTTTTTCACTATTTCCTCTGACTTTTGAACGGATTTCTGTTTCTTTTTCGTTTTGTAGATATTCATTTACATCCATAGTCAAATAACTTTATTGGATATGGTTGGATCAGAAGAAAGGAAATATATTGGGTTGGGGAGAATGAGTCGGCGCCGAAAATCAAAAAAATGTCTAAAACTTCTATTCGACTTCGTCAAATAATATGCGTTTGATATGAGTAGAATGGTTAACTAATTCTCTACAAAATCACATTTAAAAGAAAATTCAAACAGCGCCTCCGCTCAAGAAAAAGCCATTTTTTCACAAAAACTACAAACTGTGATCTAGAAAAAACCATTGGTGGGATCTTCCTGCAAATTTGGCAACTTATGTAATTGAATGTGCTCTATCTTTTTTATATAAACACCAAAGAAGGTTTATGTGAAAGAAACTGTTCAAATGATGAGTCGGACTCTTTGCCATTTTAACCAGCTGCGTTTCGAAGTTCATAAACTCCACGAAAGAAAAG